CGCTGGTATTTTGTCACAGTAACGGCAAGCTGATTAACGGAGGCTAATTCTATATCTTGAGTACTGGAATTAACATTAACAATATTAAAAATAAAGAATAAAACCATCAGAGCACTAGAAGAAACCCAGGCAAATTCTGCTTAACCCTAAAGTAATGAAAGCCTTTTAAACTATAATTCAAATTATAGAAGTCTTTGGAAAATAATAAACCCGACTGCATACAAATTTTTAAAAATTCAAGTGGGGGGGCTGTGATTTAGCTCAATGGTTCTGCCACCTGCCTTGCAAGCACAAGGTCCCGAGTTCAATCCCTGAAACAAAAACAAAAAAAATTCAAGTGTGAAAATATTTAAAACTATATCACAGATAAAAGAGTGGGTTCCGTGATATACAAAGAGCTCCTAGAAACCAAGAAAAACATCAGCATTCCAATAGAGGAATGGTCAAAGGACATGAGCCAACAGTTCATAGAAAAATAAACACAAATAGTTAATTATATGAAAATGCTTTTTTTATATTAAGTATAAAATAAAGCTGCACTTGAAGTACCATTTTTTGCTTATCAAACTGGCAAGAGTTCCAACATTTACAACATGCTATGCTATAAAAATACCAAGGGGTACATATTTCAAAACTACTAGTGCTTTTATCTTTGATCTAGCAGTCTGCCTTCTGGGAATCCGCACTACAGCTTTACCTGCCTGTGTAGGAAATAATTTACATAGAAGTTTGTGCATTGCAGTGTCACTTGTGATTATAAAAGATATGGTCCTGATGAAGGGTCCAGGCATCTATAGGAGACTGGTTAATCAACACTAGCCTGCAAGAATGTCACACAGGAGCTGTACAAAGAGCAAGGAAGCTCTTGCCAGCAGATGTGGCACCTTCTCCAGGATAGACACGCTGTTCAGCTAAGAAAAGCAAGGTCACATCTATCAGATTATCACAATATACCCCATAAATATGGATAATTAATATGTATTGATTGAAAATTTTACAAAGAGAAAGAAAAACAAGGCACAGAGCACCCAGACATAGTAGGTGTTTTTGTTTAAGAAAAGGATGGGCTGGTGTATATATTCATGCTTATGTTTCTATGAAGAAAAACCATCAAAGGAATAAGTGAGAAACTAATTCTAACCACATACAAGAGCAGAGAGGGAGAGGAGAAATGGAAATACAAGCATCTGTGTTGTTGTTAATGTCTTGCCTCACATGGCAAGTTGTGCTCAGGGTTTAAGGCAAAAGAAGAGGCGTGCATCTTCAACTTCCCAGTAGATGCTCTGCTGAGTTTGTGAAGGACAGTGAGCTCTTGTGACCCATAAACAGAGTCCTTGCTTGGGTATTACATTTCCAACTCTACTGGTGTTAAAGAGCTGGGTATATAAACACCCCATGTACCCTCCATCTGTCTTCACGTGGGCTCCCTGGCAGCATCCTGCTGCGATGCTCAACACCACCAAGGGTTCACTCTGGGGTGCTCTTCTCTCACTGAAAACTTCCTCACCTTTTGTGCACTGCAGTCCTTCCTCATGACAAGGCGTGAACTCCCTTCCACTCTATGGGCCCTGGTCCTGTGTCCTTGGGGCTCTCCATGTGGTTCACCTCTGTCTGCTTGAACCAGCTCTGCCTAGCGTGGCTGGCCTGTTTGTTTGTGTACCGGTCCTATATTCCTGCTTCCCCATAAAATGGACTTCACCTTCTGTAAGGTCTCTGAGTCTCTCCTCGTGAATTTTGCCAGAACATTCAGAGGTAGGAACCCACACTGGCTCACAGACCTGCCCCTGCAGAAGGAAGCCAGGGCCTTGGTCAGGGCTTCCTCTTGCTCTGCTCCCGTGGATCCATTTGCAAACCACATCTGTAGTTGCTGCAACCACAAAGCATATGCTTGGACCTTTCTCCTTTCTGTTTGCTTTGCTTCTCTTCCTCCCCTTCATTTTCCTTGTTCCAAGTGCCTGAAATCCTGACACACAGATGACTCGAGTCAGAGTGGGTTTCAGTGTGGTCGGGCAGGGGGCTCCAAGAAAACCATTTCCTTTTCCTGCTTTTCTCTCTCCCCCATCCCCTTCTTCTTCTCTGGCCTTAATATGTCACATCTGTGCCGGATCTGGGGAGAGCAGCAAACACAACACAGTAAAGCCCTTGGGAACCATCTGCTTTGGCAGATTCTTGGCTGCCAACACCCAGCCTTTGTCGGAGCCCCAGGTCTCTTCCCCACCAAGCCTGTGTTTTTGCCAAGTGTGTCACCTGTTGGTGGCTTGCCTGCCCTTGTATTTTGAAGTCTTGCTTTCCTTTCAGCATAAGGAGGCCCTTGCCTGAGCCACTCATAACTGGGGAGAGTGCATGGGGTGGGATGTGGACTGAGGGGAGAGGCCCCGGCCTCCAGGGCGTAAAAATCTGAGCGTATAAACCAAGAAACAGTGACACCTGCCGAGCACTGAAAATGAAGGTAGGCTATGAAGAGGTGCCATTACTGCTTATCAAAACAGATCTTTTTTGGTACCAGCGATCGAACTCGGGTCCTTGTGCCTGCACAGCAGGCAGCGAAACCACTGAGCTAAATCCCCGGCCAAAACAGATCTTTTAATAGATACCTAATAATTGCCAGACTCCTGGTTTAAAGGCATATTAAAGTCATCATTTTAGATATTCTGACTGAGGAGGCTCAGATTCAGCATTAGTAGGGTATGAATTAATGACTGTACGCTTTGATGAGACATGCTTAAGGAGCTTCCCTTGAATGTGTGGGCTTTGATTTGACTTGTCAAACCTCTGGTTTGAAAACAAAGAAAGGTGACTTTATTCCCAGAAGGCACTCCCACTCCTGGGGACAACATCAGCTCTGCTGGCCCTAGGGACTGAGTCTTATAGGGAAGACCGCCTTTTAGCTTATTTGTTTGTCAACAGCCTCAATGAAGGCAAGGAGCCTCTGAAGTGTGCTTCTTGAAAACTGAGGCTTAATTGGCTTCCCACTGGGGTCAAAGGCTGCAACCTGAGCTGGTTCCCCCCTCCATCTTGCCTAATTCCCATTTCAGCAGAGCAGGTCCTGTGTTATCAGTCTATGGGTCTGAGGACTGGGGCTGCGGTAAGCCCAGGCTCACCTGCACAGGCCCTCTGCCTCTGGAGAAGGGCCCCCAAGAGCCAGTGCTCTGGGGCAGTGTGTGGCAAGGTGCAGCTCCCGTCCTCTAGAGCAGAGCTGGCTGCAGCTGGTGGAACATACATCTCTCCCTGGGGGCACTATCCTAAGTGTCACTAATCAGTGTCACTGGAGATTCATCCTGCAAGCTGTTAGCATCACGACTGAACTCCTTGGGTCCCTCCCTTTCTGGGAACAATAGCATCCTTTGTCAGTAGCTGCGTTATTTAATCTTTGCACCACTCACTCACAGGTTTCTAAACCTTAGGTTGGGGTCCACAGAAGAACCTGATTTGAACCTGGCTTTGTTCAAACTGTGATCCCTTTCCTCTCTTTCTCAGATCTGTGGGTCTGAGCCTCCTGAGACATTGTCCTCAACCCCTGAATGTCCAAGCATGATCATTTCAGCACTTGCAGTAATGTCCCCCAAATCACCCAGCCCAGTGCAGAGGTTGGGGCTCCTGCAACACAGCCAGCCTCGGCGCCCGGGCCATTTCCTCTCAGACTGAAAGCTTTGTTCCACGGAAGCCTTTTTCCTCCTGAGCACATGCCTCTCTATCCCCAGGCCCCTTCCCTGAGCCTCAGCTTTCTCTACATGCTCCAGGGCACCCCTCAACTAGAGCAGGAGGCTTCAGGTGCCACCAGTGCCCATGTGACTTCAACTCAGGCCATGTTCATCTTCTTCCTGAACAGCTCTGCCTGTGTGTCTCAGGTGGCTCCACTGCCGTGTGTGCCTGTGAACTCAGGTCCCTGCAGCCCCCCTCCCATGTCAGTGGCACCCCTGCCTCTTTAGAGAACAATGTGGGAAATGGACCTCCTCTCCCCCGCCACGACACTCATATCCCCAGGCTGGCCCTCATCTTTCTGTCCCTGTGGCACATGGTCCCCACCTGCGCCCCAGCTCTAATCTGGCCCCTTCTGGCCCAGCCAGCATCTCCCTGCCAGCTGACCTTGGACCTGGGGCCTAACTGCCCTATCCCCATGCCTCAGCTCCTGCTGGCCCATCACCTGCTCTTCTATACCATAGTCCAGGACCCGGACTGCATGTCCCCTTGTCCTACCCTGTTCTGTCTTCCCTTCTCCCTTGGATATTGCTGTCTGGTCCTCAGCTTAGCTCTTCCAGAAGGCACACCCCCACCGCCAGCCACTGTGGCACCTCTGCTCTTGCAAGCATGTGTTGCCAGTATGGCAGCAGTGAGTGGGGCATGGTTACCCTGCCTCTCCAGGCGCGAGCCAGTGCTCTCTGTGTATGGCCTCAGAACTGTGTGACACACAGCAACCACACACAGTGTTTTCACCAGAACAACCTGGAGGCTCCTTTGACACGTTACACCTCCCACCCTAGAGCCCTGCCTGTGGTTAGGGACTTACCTCTAGAGGACACCTGTGAAACATAACTGGGATGGTTCCTAGGTGTTGGGTTCACACAGGCAACTGTTAGGCCAAATCTTCTGTGAGCCTTGAGCAGGGGCCCAGAGCTGTGGAAACAGGGCTGGGGCAGGGTGGTACATGGAGCTGAGTCTGGGCTGGGGTTGGGCCTAGCAAAGGCTGTGGGCTAAGTGTGACCCCCACACCAGCCAGCCAGCAGCCAGGAGGCTAGAAGATGTTTTTAGAGAATATTATGGCACACTTCACTTCAGATAATATGTGAGATCCTGGTCCTATTCCCTCAGCCCAGGAAGTATGTCTGTGAGCAATAAATAGCCTGAGCTGTTTTCTCAAATGCAAACCAAACATGAGAGGAGAAATAAGAGGGAATGAAATCCTCTGCCTACTCATGTGTCCATACTTCACAGGATGCCTCAGAAGCCCCTGCAGGCGTCCACACTCACGGCTGTTCCCTGTGTCTCCTCTCTCCCTCCAGTCATGCCAGGCTGACCTCGTGAAGGACAACGGGCACAAGTACTTCCTCTCCGTCTTGGCAGACCCATACATGCCAGTAAGGACCAAACCTTGTTTTCTTTGAGGGGCCCAAGATTAGTGTCCTCTGTCTCTGCTCGCACACATGCTTTGTAGTTCGTCTGACGAGAGGCAAGGTGGCTCCTGCTTGCTCGTCACTGGAGAGTGTCTCCACAGAGGGCAGCCAGCCTGTTGGCTCAGACACAGGGGACTTCTCCCTTTCCCATGCCATACTCTGCTCCATACCATGCCCCTATGTAACTGCCTTTAGTTCACCTGTGTCCCCAGGTTGGGTCAGCTTGGTTTGCATCTGTCAGCTTTCACTGCACACCTTCGCCTTGCAGTGACATCTCTCCCTCACTGAGTTAGATGGACAAATAAGCACACTACGCCCATGATGTGGTAACTTGAATGCCTCCAAAGGCCCTGGGACTTGACAAATCCACTGTGCCTTATTGTAGGAAAAAAGGGGAGAGGATGAAGAAAAGAATAAATCATTTGAAACTTTAAGTTTTACATATTTTTATTTCATTAAATTATTCAAAAATTAGATGAAATAAGCCTGAAAAACTTATATGCTAACTCCTTGTAATGCTTTATAGTTAATTTCTTTATTCTGTAACTCCAGCCCCTAGCATAGTGAGGACAAAATAGATGTTCTAAATAATTCATCAATTTAACTTAACATTGCCATAATATTTAAGTATAACAGCACATCTACACAGGTAACTTTGGTTATAGAAAGAATTTTTGTATATAATTTTACCCTCCAAGTTGTTTTTCTAAACTAAATGATAACACCGGCAACAGGATAAACAGTACTGGTATATGAAAGGTAAATAGTACTTGTGTGCTTCACTTAAGTGATATTCTTGAACACTATCACAGGCAGTTTAATATACTTTGTATGAGTTTTGCAAATAACTGCTTCCCTGTTCTCTGAGGTAAGTAAGAATACTCTACAAATCAAGCGATAGTGAGCACTAAGCTGCAGTTTGCAGCAAAACAGTGAGTCAGCTGACATGAGGAAGTAGCTTCAGCTATTCCAACTGGAGGACATAGCCAAGTTTGAAAGAAAGAAAGGGGAATTTTCAAATGCCAGAGACTGAGCGAGGGATCCATGGAGAGCCCTGGTAGGCAGCAGAGGCACCACCATGGCCACCCCAAGGATGGCACTCTGTGCAGACCCTCAGTCCGCGAGGGATGCAAGGTCCAGCGCAGGCAGTGCTGCTCAGTGACAGTCCCACTCACACCAGGAGCCTGCAACTCATGCTCTGACCTTCATGAAAGAGGACAAGCAGAGTAACTGTGCTCGGTGGAAAAGAAAAGGGCCATGAAGAGAACCTGAAATTTCAGGCTATTCTGCTCACAATGCAGGGTCTGAGTTTCCTCTGCCCACATGTGTTAGAGCCACAGCAGGAAATTGTCGTGAAAACCATGTGCAGATCCCTGAAGTCTCCTGGGGTCACGGAGGACCCAAACTCAAAGCTTTCCTACAGGACACCTACAGACCCAGGCAGGGGTAGGCAGTGTGAGGTGCTCCCACAGGATAAACACACAGGGTCACAGGGAGGACTGGCACCCAGAGGAGCGTTCACAGGGCCCCCGGAAGTGGGAGACCAGCATGAATGAGCATGCTCAAGAACAACTGAGTAAGACAGTTTATGCCAAACATTAAGCCCTTGTGCTCTCCAGAAATAGTCTTCAGTCTACAGTAGAAAACAGTGTGCTTTGTGCTTCTTACTCATCCTCAAAAATAATAGATTTTTTAAAAATAGGCAGATCTGAAAAAAAATAGAACCTGTCATGGAAGAAGAGACAGTTGTCATCATTTGAAAACTCAGCAGGTAAACTGAAGAGCAGAAGAGATGCACAGTAGGAGAGTCAGAGAAGGGGCCTCCTGGGGTGTGAAAGGGTGAGGGACATGGATGAGGAAGGGTACTGACACATCATTCAGAAAGGCAGGGAAGCAGCATTCAAACAGATTGTGGCTGAGGACACATTGGAAGAAAGAAATGAGTGTTTGGATTTTAAAAGCACCATGGATCCCTGAGAAGTTAAATGAAAACAAATCCACATTGGGCACATCATAATGACAGTGATGAATATCAAAGGCTTAAAGGAAAATCATGAAAGCAACCAGAGCACACAGGAAGGTTACCTGCAATGGCTGGACAGCACCGACAGGCAGTGAGTGCAGTCTCGCTGCAGCACCAACGTGGGTGAGAGTTCAGTCGAGCAACCTTCACAGTGCTGAAGAGGTGACTGCCTGCTGCACTTCCCTACCCAGCTATGCTGCCCTGGAGAGCGTGAGGAAAGACATTTTCAGACATAGACTGAGTTTGCCTCTTCCTGAGCACCCTGTCCCTGGACAGCAACCATCAGGACTGTATTTTAAAGTGAGAGGACAGCAAACCCAGACCGACCGTAGGGAAAAGTAGGTCCCAGGAAGTGCCAAAAAGCAAAGACAATGGCAGACCTGCTGATAAGACTAAGTCAGCTTTGACTGTAAAAATAAATAATGTTAACAGTCACTAATTAGAGGGGTTAGAGATGAGAAATACTGGATTTAAGGCACACTATGAGCCTTGCAGCAGTCTAAGTAAAATACAGAACAGATTAGGTCGTGTGTGTGTGTGTGTGTGTGTGTGTGTGTGTGTGTGTGTCTGTGTGTGTGTGTGTCTGTGTGAAAGGTAAAGCACCATTAGGTAGTCAGAAGTAGGCTGATTTTCCAGATAGGTATGGCACAGAGGAGAAGAGGAAAGGAAAATTGATCAATCCAATAGAAGCCCAGAAAGAAAAAGTTAGAATGATACTTTCTCTCCTTTTGTTACCACTGTGCTTGAGCAGGGGACAAAATGCTTACATAGAAGTGGGCAGAGGGATGGGGCAAGCCCTTCGTACCAATGGACTCCACTGATGGCCTTCTATGGAGGGCATCAGCCAGCCTTGGCCCGCCCTGTGGCATTAGCAGTCAAGCGAGCAGTCTGTCCTTTAAAAATGCTGCTCTTTTTCGTGGAGTCAAATCAGACAACAAGCAAGCTGCCTCTCCTTCCTTTAGTTAGTGTCCAGTTTGTCTAAAGACTCTGAAGGATGACATCACTGTGCCTGGGGAACTTGTGGGAACCATGGGAAAACACACAGCCATGACTGGTTCTTGTTTTGCAGGCTGAACATAGAACCATGACAGCTTTCATTCTCGCTGTGATTGTCAACAGCTATACCACAGGGCAGGTGAGTGCCACAATAGCTGCAGCTACCCTCAGCCACCCACCCCCCTGCCACTGCAGGGAAGTAGAGGTACAGCCCAAGGCGCCATGCTTACGGAGGGGCCTGTTGCTCTGGCAGTCTGATGGCCATTCACCTCAGAAAGTAGGGCCACCAGAGCATACCTGCAGCTGGCGATAGTGCAGGAGAGATATCAGGGTAAAAGTGAATCCTTGAGGCTTAAAATAAGGAAAATTAGGCATGTCTTGCGTTGTGGTTGAGCAAGGCTTTCCTGAGAAACCACAGTAGCTCCTACCCCAGCCAGGCCCCTTCTCCTGGGCCCTGGGTCCCAGGGCAGAGGACCACTTGTCTCATGCTCCCCCATCCAGGAAGCCTGCCTTCAGGGGAACCTGATTGCCATCTGCCTGGAGCAGCTCAGCGACCCGCACCCCCTGCTGCGCCAGTGGGTGGCCATCTGTCTGGGAAGGATCTGGCAGAACTTCGACTCAGCACGATGGTGCGGAGTAAGGGACAGCGCCCACGAAAAGCTCTACAGCCTCCTCTCCGACCCCATCCCCGAGGTGAGTCATCCTCATGGGCGGTTCCAAACCAGGTCTGGGTGTCAGGTCTTCAGGCCCTACCAGGATGCTGTTCATAAAAGGTCCCAGGAACGGCACGCAGAGGCCCACTCACACCCACCACAACTTTGCATCTAGAAAGATCAGGACTCCACACAGTTCACGAGAGTAGGACACTGGGACCTCGGTACCAAGGGTCACATGCTTGATGACTTCTCATTCAGACAGAGCCAGTGCTTGAGTGCTGTGGAGAGCTACAAGCTTCCTGTGGGCCCAGGCCACATCATCTTCGCTTTGCCAAAGGGGAGCCAGGCCAGCACCTCAGCCTCCCTCTTGCTGCTGCCAGCTGCAGGTGCTGGCCCTGTCTGCCCCTGTTGGCCAGGGTGCTAGCTTCCAGCCCTGCGCAGGGGCCTGGTGGGCTCCTCAGTCACCCAGTAGGGAAACAGTTTGCCCCCAGGACCCGCACTCACCTCACCCAGTAGGGCAGTTCAGAGGGGCTCTGAGTTGGCCTCTGGGTGCCAGCAACACTGCAGGCCACTAGGCCTCACTGCCCCCTGGGGACCAAGACCCACTCAGACCCTCTGAAATTGAAGGGTCCTCATGCAAAGATTTCCTCAGGGAAATAGATTTACTTACTTTCAAGTTTGTTCTCAAAAGGGCTGACGGCATCAACCAAAAATACAGAGTATGACATTACACTGAGGAAATGAGTTGTGGAGGAGGAACTAGAGGGGAGTTAGGACACAAACAAGATGTCTCCCCAAGAACTGAGGCCAGCAGAGAGGCAGCCCATATGGCTGTTTACCCAGGGTGGCCACAGAGTTGCTCTGAGCATCTTCACAGCCAAAGAAGGCAGAAGCAGTATCCCTGAGGTAACTGAGGGGGTTGGTCAGAGGAAATGCAGCTGTCCCCAGCCTGAGGCCAGTGGGACAGCCTGGGCTGGTCCTGCAGCGTGCATTAGGCCCACTCACATTTGCCGCTCAGAAGTGTACCTTGGAGTCTGAGAAGCTGGGGACATAGAGGCCTTGTCGGGTGCTAGCAGGCCATGAGGAATGGCCGAGGTTGGGCTCCTGTGGGGAGCAGGGAACCTCAGGGCACAGGGGAGGGTCATCTTGCTCACAGGCAGCATGGGCCTTGGCCTTACGCCTGAGAAAGTACAGGGAGGGGTGGATAGAGGGGCTCTGATGACATGCAGATTGGCTAGGGAGGGGTGGCCAAGCTCGGAGCCTTCAAACAGGGTTTTCTGGAACACAGGACCCCTCTGCTCTCCCTGCTGCCGTACTCACCCATGCTGTTTATCACAGTGCTGGTGATCTGGGCTCTTGCCTGTCCCCAAGTCAGTGAAATACACAGCACTTTGTCCCTCCTCTCCTGAAGGCTTCAGGCCCAGCCTCTTGCTGAGTACAGGTGTGTGTCACCAACAGTGTCTGGGCAGTTCTGTAAGGCAAGACCCCTGGAGCCCTCTTCTTGGGATAGGGTAACCTGATTCCCTCCTCCTCCCGTGCTTTGCTCCTTCATCAGGCTCAGAGCCACCTGTGGGGTTCACGTGTGGACTGAAGGGAGCAGGGAGCACATGGGCTCAGGAACAGCCCCCTGGACTGGCGTGCGGGTGCTGCACCCAGACACTCCTGCCGCCTCCTGTGTGCAGATCCTTCTCAGGGCCTGAAGCCTTCTCTTCATGCCATGGCTCTCAGGGTGACAGATGCCCACAGTGTGGGGTTGGGGGCCACCATACTTCCCATTCGCTGCCACTGTTTCTCTGAATCCATCCAAGTGTGTCTGCTCACTGACTGTTCCACAGGGCAGTCTCAGCACCATTTGTTGAAATTCTAGGGTTCTTCTATGTTATTTCATTGACTCTTCCCACATCCTCGTCCAGGATATGTTGTGGTGCTCCTTTTAGAAATAAGGAAATGGAAGCTCCACAAGGCTGGCCTCTCCCCCTAGCCCCCAACTGCAAGCTCACACAGCCTTGGAGGTGAGAGCTGAGGAAGGTCTCCAGACATGGCCAGCCTGGTGTTGCTCGCCTCACTCCTTCTCAGTCCCCAGGGGCTTGGGCCCCTCTGGGCCTCCACTCCAACGCTTTCTGTCTCCAAGGCCCATGCCTTCTCCACTTGCCTCTCCCTCCTTCCCATGACCCAGCCTAGCCCTCTCCCCAGTGCTCCTGTCTTTCCGCCACAAATCCCTTGGTGCCTGAGTGGCCCATCGATTCCAGAAGAAACATAGTTCCTGCCTCAGCTCCATAGCCTTTGGACCTCAAACTGGGGCCTTGATGATGCTTACTTTGGTTCCCCCAGGCTTCCTCCCCTATTTCTGCTCCAGCAATATGAGTATAGCTCTGGGCTCAGATTGCTGTTCAATAGTACTTGTGGAATTGAATTGAGCTGTGCTTATCTGAACAAAATTGGATTAACTTGTGGGCAGTCTTGTCAGAAATGTAGACAGTAGACACACCAGCCGTGGGCATGTCTGTGACTCCCTGTCCTCTGTCTTGCAGGTCCGCTGTGCAGCCGTCTTTGCACTTGGCACATTTGTGGGCAACTCTGCTGAAAGAACAGACCACTCCACCACAATTGACCACAACGTAGCCATGATGCTGGCCCAGCTGATCAATGACGGGAGCCCCATGGTCCGGAAGGTACGTGACCCTGGCTCTTCAGGCAGCTGCAAGGCATCCTCCACCACCAGGACCGAGCCAGCACTACCCTATCTGGGGCTCCAAAGACTCACTTTCCCCCTGTGTGTGTCATATGAATGCAGATCATTAAATGCCATTTTCTCGAGTATGTTTCTTCACTAGACTCTAGTGTGCCTGCTTCATCTGAGGGTAATTTGCAGGCTGTGCTTCCTGCATCTTATATGGCAGGCTCCTTCCTGCCTGGGGCACATGCAGATGTCATCACACCCCAAAACAGGAGTGGCCCCCGACAGATGACAGCAGGTGTGTGTAGTGTGTCCTTTGCCTTGTTTTTGCCGGTGACTGCATAAAGCAGTTTTATGGACTTGAAAACTCTTATCTGTTTAGACATAAAAGTATCGTGGATTATTGTCCATGGTTTCAAACTCTGTAAAAACCTAGTTCCACACAACCTAGATTCCCACTTCTGTCCCAGCTAGAAAGGTGTGTTGGGGAGAACACTGGTTTTCTGGTGGTTTTATGGCAAACCCGAGGGTGCTCCTGAGTGGAGAATGTTTACTGGGAGGTGGGAAAGCAAAACCACCCACAGGTAACCACAGATTTGTGTGTTATCAGCTTCCTTCTCGGTGATTCTAAATAGTTATATTTGGTTCCCCTCTGAGATGGGCCTATCTGGAGTTGGCTGTGGCTATAGGGTTGTCCAGCTGGGGAGCAGGCTGCATGACCATCTTGGGAGAGATGTGTCTGAGCACATTGCTTCACCCAGGCTCATATAGAGAGGATGCTTTGCATCTCGTGTCCTCTTCTGAAATTAACCCAGGTCCTTGTGCCAAATTTTCTAATGAGATCTTAAAATGGGAAGTCAAGTTCCAGCAGCCCCTGCCCTGGGACTTTGGTGTCTTTGAGTTCTGAGGTCAGCAGCATCTCTGGACCTGGCGTCCTTCATCCTGTGCCCAGTTCTTCCTTGTCCCATGTCGCATTGCCTTAAGTAGACATCACTGAAAAACATAGCAAATTGGTACTTTCTTTTATTGTATGTAAAAATTCTTTTTAAAGTAAGGAAAGGCTTTTTCCTTCTTTGCAAAAACAATTTAAAAATTGGACGGGGATCTAGCTCAATGGCACCGTGCCTGCCTCACAAGCACAAGGTCGTGAGTTCGATCCCTGGTACCAAAAAAACACACACATACAAAAAAAAAAAAAAATTTTGTTTAAATAGAAAGGATGGTAACTGAAGTGTTCCCTTGAGTTTCCAGTATGGGGAGAGTGGTCCCCAGGTCCCTAGGAACCCACATGGGGCGCTGCCTGACAAGCCCTCAAGTGCCTCCGAGTACCTTCACATGGCCCTACACACACTATTCATGGCTACCTAAGTTTCGAACAATTTAATAAAATAAAAAATGCTTAAAACTTAAACTTTCAAATGATCTGTTCCTCTCTTCTCCTGCTTGTGATCTCTTTGGAGAGCACAGGTCCTGGACCCTGGAACACTCGGGTAGCACACACCTCCACACGGGCAGCGTGGCATGTGCTAGCCTTCGGGGCTGCATGCTGTCTGTCCCCCAGGTCCCGCTGTCTGTGCAGCACTGGGAAGGGCCTCGCTTGCTCCCGCTGACCTTCACACATGAGCTCTGCTCATACTGGGCTCCGAAATGCAGAGGTGGGCAGGAGCCTCAGCTTCTAGGCACGGAAGACAGAGCCTTTGCGGCCCACCAGTGCAGCCTCCCAGAGTGAGCTGGCTCTCTCACTGGCTGTGAGCTGTGCCTTGACCTTCCCTCCCTTGAACAATGGGCTCTGCCTCAATGGCCTTCTTCAAGCTAAAGGTCCAAGACCTCAGTGTACAACACTAGGTTTTCTCACTTCACATCCAAGTGAAGGGGATTGGAGCTTTCCTGACCCAGGTGTAGCCTCTCCTTCCCAGGAGGAGTCCTGTGAGTGTTTGCTTATTCAAGGCTCCCCTGGGCAGCGTCTTACTTCCTTGCACAGGGAAAGTGGGGTAGGCCCTGTGGTCACCTGAGGAGTCTGTGGTATTGACTTGGACAGGTGGCAGCAAGCATTAGCTATGGGGCGTTGGCAGTGGCTGGGGAGACTTGGCAGGGCCCCCAGTGCAGTCAGCCTCAGCCACAACGGGGGTGGGGGTACAATGCCAAGGTCTAACCTACGCAATAGGATCTATGGTTCCCTGGCACAGTCGAGGCTGCTGCTGGGTATGGTGGCGCACGCCTATAATCCCAGCACTTAGGAGGCTAAGACAGAAAGATCACTGTGCTTTCAAGACCAGCCTGGGCTACATAGTGAGTTCAAGGCCAGTGTGAACTACAGAGTGAGACCCTGTCTCAAAGGAAAAAAAAAAGAGATTGCTGGTGGATCTGAATGGAAAGCACAGGCACCAGCACATTACGGGGCAGGGTGAGTTTGGGATTCAGACGGAGCCTCAGAGCCAGCAGGTGGGAAGACCAGGCTGGAGCTAGAGGAGAGATGGGGTAGGGGTTGGTTGTGTAGCCATCCAGAATGTGACAGGTGAAAGACAAGGAGTGCATGAGGCTGAGGTAGGAGAGAATATCAAGGAGAGGAGAGGAGCCCACAAAGGGACCCAAGGGTGCCTGTCCAAGGCTCATCTTGTCTGGTTTCCCAGGAGACCTCAGCGCTTTAACAGAGGTCTCCCCAGCCTTGGGAGTCAGGAGCTTAATGTAGCAAGCAAGAGATTCTCCTAGGTATTGACTTTCTACTAAGTATCTTTCTTTAAAGGCGAGGGGGGTGTGCAGATGAATTTGTTAGAGCTGTATGAGTAGCAGTAAGGAAAGGTATTCACTTTTATAAGCCTACATTCCAGTTTTGTTTCCCTAAAGATCTTTCAGAAGCCCAAGAGCTCATACTGTAGCATTAAACTTCCTAAAAGATATATAAACTGTCCCCATTTCCTTGGATTGAACCATGTGGGCCTAAAGATCATGTTTTTGTTCTAGGACTTTTTCTCATTCCCTGTTAGAGACTGAAACCTAGTATAGCTATGAACGTTTTGCACTTAGTGAAAAGAGCCTGCTCCAGGTTCTCTACTCTTTTTTTTTTTGTACCGGGGTTTGAACTTGGGTCCTTGCGCTTGCGAGGCAGGTGGTAGAACCACTAAGCTAAATCCCCAGCCCTGCTCCAGGTTCTCAGATGTGTCCTACTTTGGTCTGGTTCCCTGGACTATTGGGTTAACTTGAGAAATGCATCTTTCAGCCCAGGGTTGCAGGACTAATTATAAACAAGAGGCCATGAATTCTCATACCTCACCCACTCTGGAGGTATGTGATCCATACCATGGCCTCAGAAATTCTCAAGTTGCTTCATTCCTCCCTAGCAGTCAATAAGCAGGTTCTGGCTGGTGTGCAGGGCGTTCCACGGATGCCCTTCAGAAGCTCCTGGTCAGCAACCTTGACAATGCTGCTTGCTCCAAGGATGCATCCATGCTGGTTTCTAACTGGGGGCAGTCTTGCTCCGACCTTCCTCTTCCTGCTGGCGATGCAGCCATTGGGCCTTAACTTGTAAGTCCACTGTCCAGTCAATTTCCAGCCCCTGTAACTGTCCCTTCTCTCTCTTGGCAGGAGCTAGTAGTGGCTCTGAGTCATCTGGTAGTTCAGTATGAGAGCAATTTCTGCACAGTGGCCCTGCAATTCATGGAAGAGGAAAAGAACTACCCCTTGCCCTCTCCAGCAGCCACAGGTACCTCAGCTCTTGGGAGCCAGGGACTCCCCCCAGCCTTCACCAGAATTGTCAGCAGTTACAGTCAGGCCAAGTCTGAGCTTGGGTTTCTGTAACCTTGCTGTGGGTGATCCCCATTGTTCCCATAGCAGAATTCAAAGTACAGGGAAAGGGGCCACACTGACCCTCTCACTCTTTTCTTTCCTCTTTATCTGTCTTGGAAATCAAATTTGTGGCAATCTTGAAGGATAGTAAACCTTCAGTAGGGGTTTGCAGAAAAGAACATTCGCCATCTTCCTGTGATGAGCAGTTGAATCAGTGTTGCTTCCATGTTTCGGTGAGTCATGTTAGGAAGCTCCTCTGCTCACATTTGTCCTTTTCACAGGAAGATGCAGTCATCTTTTACATTTATATTTCATCACCTGTGCACTGCTCTTCCCTCCAAATCACAGTAAAGAGGGCTCATGATTGATAACCAAGCATTCTTGCTTTTAGGTGGGGGAGTAGAGGTGACAAATAAACTTGGTAGTGAAGGCACCAGTGAGATGGAGGGGGTCCTGCCAGTGTCCTGGCCCTGCTGTGCTGTTGGTGGCGGGCAGCAGCCCATGGCCCACACCAGCAAGCACCTCGTGTGGACTTGCAGAGGCACAGTTGCAGCACTGCCCCACATCTTTTGTAATGCTCCCTGAACTGTATACTATCATTCCTCCGCCCGAGGGGTCTTAGGCTCAGGTCAGGTTCTCACTGAGTGAAACACCCGCCCTCTCTGTCCATGCTTGGCCCTGAGGCCCTTGCTGCACCCATGGGGAAGCCAAATCCTCCCACCCTGAAGCCTGTCACTAATTCTTTTCCTTCTTCCTCTTTTCTAGAGGGGGGGAGCTTGACCCCAGTGCGAGACAGTCCATGCACCCCTAAACTTCGTTCTGTGAGCTCCTATGGAAACATCCGAGCTGTCACCACCGCGAGGAGCCTGAACAAGTCTCTGCAAAATCTGAGTTTGACGGAAGAAGGTAAGACCCTGGAAACTGGGCGCTTGTGTTGGGAGGGCTTGGGATGTTACTTTATGGAGCTTTTATCTAAGCAAGAGCCACTCTGCCACTGCCCTCTTCCCTACCATAAACTGCTGCCCTGAGGTCCCATGACCAACGTGGTGATTGGCCAGCTGTTCTTGGGTCTTTGCTACACCTGTACCAAAGGTGTGGTCCTGCCCAGAATGGCCAGGGGCACCTCCAGACTTGCAGAGAGAAGCCCAAGCAAAGTCGGTTCCCCTCAGCTCTGCTGGGAGGTACAGCTGCAGAGATCAGGGTGGGGCATGCCTGTGTGCACACATATAACCGTGCGTGTGTGTTAATGTGTGTGCACATGTTCCCAGGTGTGTCGCTGTGCACACACACAGGTGCTCTGTGTGCCCACGCGTACAGTGAGCATTACTTTTCAGAAGAAGGCACACGTTTCCGTCAGTGGGTCCCTTAATTGCATGATGGGAAAGAGGGCCCTGGTCACCAGGCTGACACTGTCCCATCGTTCCTGATAGCAGGCGGCGCAGTGGCCTTCTCCCCTGGGAACCTTAGCACCAGTAGCAGTGCTAGCAGCACCCTGGGCAGCCCGGAGAACGAGGAGCACATCCTGTCTTTCGAGACCATTGACAAGATGCGCCGCGTGAGCTCCTACTCCGCGCTCAACTCCCTCATAGGTGAGTCAGGCCGCGTAAGTGCCTGAGCTACTTCAGCTTGATGGGAAAGAATGTATGCGCTGGGCATGAGGAGCAAAAAGCATGTCCTGCTGTGGGAATGGCCTGCGGACCCGCCTAGGGGACATGGGCGAGGCCGCATGTCCTACGGGAGGGCTGCCAGAACATCCATCATCTTTGCGGGACAAATGAGCACCCTCATGTGTGCCAAACCCCCAGCAGGTTGGAATGGCAGCTCTGGCTAAGAGTTTTGTCCCCAGGACTCATGGTGGTTGTCACATAGGAGCAGAATCGGGTACTGTTGACATCAAGTGGGTGGAGGACCATGCCTGGCAATGCCCAGAGGCCCCAAAGAGTCAGCCTGAGAGACTGAGGGCCTGCTGCAGAGGCAGAGGAAGTGGCTCCCCTTTGAAGGCCTTTGACACCACACATACACACACCCCTACCAGTCCAGCGTTTGACCAGCACTGCCCAGAAGCTGGAGTTCAGCAAGGATTTTCTCCTGTCCTGCCCTGAACAGCAGGCTCCTGGGTTCTGACCCCCAGGTTGCTGGCCCAAGAGGAATGGGAATTCACTCTGTTTCCTCATTGTGTGCCTGTGTTCATCTTCAGATTGCTGCGACACACTTAAGACCTAACTGGGCAACCTCCTTTCTCTTGTTCTGAGCCCCAGAGCGGTTTTTAGGGTTCAATGAAATTTTTTATTTTATTTGTGTGTGTGTGTGTGTGTGTGTGTTGTGTGTTTCACTTGTCAAAATCCATTTATTTGTAAAAGAAAACAGAAACCAAACAACTGCTAGTAATACATACGTGTCATAAAATTACTGAGAACTGACAAGTATATTTAAAGAAGATTCCTCATGCTCGTTCATTCCTCCCACCTTCCTATCCTGCTTCTCTTTCCCAGGTAGATTTGTGCCTTCTCTTCAGATGTTTTATGCTCACGTGTGTAACTCACATCCATACATACAATTTTTTTTAAAAATGGTACTGTGTTATAAACAGTCTTCTTTTCCATTCTTTTGTCAGTACAGGTTTGTAGTGTATAATGATTGCATTCATTGTGGGGAGGTGGCACATGTACATGACACATCTCTTCTTCCCTCTCAGCCCTCCCACTCCCTGTTCCCTTCATCTCTTGGTCTCCTTCCATTTTGTAGATGTATTTCCAGTTTCCTATTATCCATCTTGTATATTTCTCTTTATAGTTTGGTTTTCTCATATAAGAGAAAATACGTGGTCTTGAAGTTTGTGTGTTCGTTTAATCTCACTTAACATTATGGTCTCAAGGGGCATCCGTTTTCTTGCAAATGACTCAACTTTATTCTTCTTTATGGCAGAGTACTACTCCAGTGTTATGGCTTGTGTCTATAGGTTCCTGCAAAGCCTCATGTAGTCATAGGAGGTGGCTGGATTTAGGGTGTGTGGTGCTGGGATCAAGGATGTGATGCTAGGGTTGATTCATGGTGGGATGGTAAGATTAAAGCGGCCACACCCCAGGTGTGAGGGTTGCCCGCCCTAAGGATGGGTAGACTGGATAAAATTTAAGGGAAAGAAAGAAGATCGTTGCTTGTCACTTTTTGCTACTTCGCTGCTTTGCTGCTTTGCTGCTTTCTGCCCATCATGAACTGGTTCTCTGTGATGCTCTTCTGTGGAGCTGGAACCCTCCTGGTCAGCTCCATGGGTCGTGTGAGGCCCACGACTGCACAGGCACGTGCCCCAGAAAATGGTGTCACCATTGACGGAAAGGGCGGGCTGGAATTTTTTAAATTCAGAAACATTTCAAACGTATGAAAATGACAGAGACTAAAACAAGAAACCTGTGTGTTATGTTCCCAACGTAGAAAATTAGAGAGTGGCAGCCCAGTGCCCCACCCCCACCCCACTCTCTCCTGTCCTTCGATCGCTGGGTCCCTGGCAGGCACCAGGTGCCCCTTGGAGGCCTCTAGCATTGCCTTGATGCCACCATATGACATGTGACCTTGCCCTGTGTCTTTCATTCCACTTTGGTGTTTGTATTTACCCCTGGCGGTCATCTCAGTTTTGTTCATACACCTTCACTTTTTGCCACAATTTAATTTTTTGTTCACCTGTTCAGGGACACTAAGCCTAGTTCTGATTTCTTCTTTTTCTCTCCTATTTATTTATTTATTTATTTATATAAGAAAACTTGGGATTTGGCGCCCGATGCCTCTGCGCTGCCCAACACTCTCTCCCTCTTTCTCTACCCCCTGCCCTGCTGGGCTCCTAGGCCCTGGACCATCTTCTGCCTCCATCCAGTCCTTGGCCCCTACAAAGACCCTCCTGTCTCAAGCAGTTTCTGACTGCTCCTTGGTCCCCCAGAACCCTGATCACTTGACCTCTCCACAGAAGCCTCCCGCCCCGCCCCAATGTAGACCTGCTTTCTGATTCTTTGTTCCCTTCCTGCTGTATTTCTTTTCCTGAGAACTCATTACTACCAGATTTATCCTTTGTTTACCATTTATTTGGTCCAGTTCTGTCTCCTAGCCCTGCCCACATTTGAGTTCATACTAGGTGCTCAGTACATGTGTAAGGGAATGTACTGGAATTAATTCACATTTCCCCTGGTTGTAGTGAGGCAAGCCTCATGTATTGGCCCCTGTGTCTCCACTTCTGCAAACCATGTTAAATGCCTGCAGATGTTGCTTTGTGTTATTGGTCTTTCACAGCTCTGGGTACATATTCATGGTTGATATACCATTAAATAAGTCTCCTAATCTGTAACTTTATGATGTCTGTAGCATTACGTAACTTTTACACTTTTTCTTTCAGCTTGTGCTTTTTGTCTCTTGAATTTTTGTCTTTCCTCACTGTCTTGATATCCTAACATTTTTCACTTTCCGTTGTTATGCTTATGCCTACACAGACCTTGAGTGGATGCAGGGGAGGGACTCACCCCTGCTTCTCCCCACAGGCCTTGCCCCTTGTCTCTGTGTTCTTCCTCACAGCCTCTGTCCTTTCTCCAAGAGTTTTGTTTTGGTTTGGTTTGGTTCTTTGGTTTTTTCTGGTACCAGGAATTGAACTCTGGACCTTGCACTTGCCAGCCAGGCACAGCACCACTAAGCTAAATCCCCAGGCCACTCTCCAAGAGTTTTTGTTCCCAGTCAGCCTCCCCCGTTGTGAACTGGGCTGGTCGGGCCCAGGGGTCTCCCATTCTGTGTAGAGAGCGCTGAGTTGAGTGGGGACAGACACTGAAGCCAGGTATCACTTTGTTCTTTCTTCCGCATTTTCTTGATGATTCTTAACACTTCGCTTTGCTATATAAATTTGTAATCAGCGGTTCTGTTTCTACAACACCCTCATCAGAATGTTGTTTGGAATTGCTTTGAATTGCTGGATCCACCTGACAGAATTTATAACTTTGCGGCATTGAGTCTCCCAGCCCTGCCCAGGTGTCTTTTTCTTCATTTAAATCTCCCTTAATGACCTTTAAGACAGTTTACAACTTTCTGCGTGAAAGTTATAGTCATTTTATTCAAGATACCTTAGTTAGTAAGTTAGTTAGTTTGTGTTGATATGGGGTCCTGCTGAGATGCCCAGGCTGACTTCAAACGATCCTCTTGCCGTAGCCCCCTGAGTAGGAAGGACTACAAGATGTGTCCCACCATCCTACCTAGGGTGTTTGTAGTTTTAAGTAATAACCTCTTTTTTCCTCATTTAACTCTTTTATTACTGGCCAAAAAAAAAAATTCAAGTATATATATCTCTTCATCCCCAAGAGAAAAGGAAAACTTTCTAACTTTACACTTTCTTGCATGTTTATTTTGTTGCTCGGTTGTTGGGAATGCAACCCAGGGCCTCACACACCCATGGCAAGTCCAGCTCCAGCCCCTTTTCACTTTTAAAAACAATGTTTGCTATAGGGTTTTTGGTAGATATATTATCAATTTATAGAAATTTCCATCTATTCATTGGTCAAAACTTTTATAAGTAGAAATTCCCATTCATTCTAGTTGATTAAAAAGATTTTTTTTCACAAATGAAACAAATCTCATTGAATTTTTTTCTATATGTTTTGACTTTGTCCTATGTTTTTCACTCTATTAATGTGGTGAATTACATATTTAGGATATCTTGTTAAACCATCCAGGTATTTCTGGGTAAACCCACCTTGGTTAACTTTAACACCATTGCAGTAAGTTTGTCAATAGTTTATTTAGAACATTCCCTGTCTATACTCATGAGTGAATTTGGGCTGTAATTTTTGTCTTCTGTTGCCCTTGTCTGGTTTGGATATCATGCTCATACTAGCCTCATAAAGGAATATGCCCTCATTTTCTATTTTGTGGAACAATTTGTATGAGACCAAGATTATCTGGGTAGAATTTGCATCTAAAACTGATGGGGTTTTGTAGGATTCTGTGTGTTCAGTTTTAATTCCCCCCTTCATTTATTTCTTTAAAGCTGGGGCCAGGGATTTAGCTCAGTGGTTCTGCCGCCTGCCTCACTAGTGCAAGGACCCGAGTTCGACTCCTGGTACCAAAAAAAAATTAAAATAAAAATAAAAGGATATTTCTTTAAAGCTGGGCTTGTGTGCCTTCTCTGTCTCTTCCCAGGTTAGCTGCAGGAACTGTTTCACAGGGTGCTGAGCCCTTGTCTCCTTGAGGCTGCCAAGAGTACTCTCACCTTTTCCAGTTTCTCTTGTCTCTGGTACACCCCCTTATTACTCCTGTGACTGTTTATTTACTTTTCTTTTTTCTCGATTAGTCCTGTAAGGCATTTATTAATTTTTTTAGGAGCTTAAAATTTTAACTTGTGCTTTGTTGATTTTCTTCATTACTGTATCTTTATTTTATGTTCCACTATTTGCTTGTCTTTATTTTTTTTCTATTTTCTTAGGTTTACTCTCCTGTTCTTTTTCAGGTCTGAAGTTGAAAGTACGAATAACTCTTTCTTTTGAGTCTCTTTCCTTCCCAATATGTGTGTGGTCTGAATGCCCTTAGGACTACTTGTCTGCGGTCTCTCACTTTGATAGACACAGGT